TACACTAGATTTCCTCATCGTGTTTCGGTGCGCATCGGAAGAATGACAGCTTACGTATTATTCCTGTAATGTATCACTCTAGCTTGCAGCTCCTCGTGCTTCTCGCCTTACAATTTTCCTCCAGCGAATCTACTATGTCTCAAAATCTGAAACGGTTCAGGGATGAGCGGTATTTAGGAGCAATCGGCAGGGATTATTTCCTTTATGCAAAATCCAGCATGTTATATTATACATTTCTACATATACTAGGTACATATTATTATACATTTGTACATTTTGTGCAGCATTATCAGACGAACCTTTTTCTAGTCTGATCTGATTGGCGAAAATGGAAGTCGACGATGAATTGATTTAAGTGCATGCTAATTTAAATTTGATAGTGCGAACCGAGCATGAGCACATCCCTTTACGAAATGAAGGATATGGTCCCAATTATAGATAGGTTATTTTAACTTACTCAGTTCATCACAAAATGGAATCGAGCACATCTCCCATTTTAAGGGTGGGAACAGCTACTTTGTGGTCCCAGGGTACAAGTTGCAGCCCAAGGCCGTCTTCAAAAGTACGTACCTGCCCAAGACCAAGTCTTTTACGAGTAGTATTTTGTATAAAAGGACCTTAGGAACCCTGACTTCGCGGAATGACGATGTCAACTCAGGGGAATCCCATCTAAGGCAGGGACTTCCACTCTCTGTCATGTTCACGGTGCCCATGTATTCCTTCCCCATATCCGTCAGTCGGCATTCGGGATAAGCTATCTCATCTGGGAACAGATACACGGACACTCGCAAAGTCTTAGGCAAATATCATCCAGGAAGATCACATACACGCACTGGATTCCAATTCATAGTCAATATCCCGAATCCTTGTGCACGCGGTAGACTCTCAAAGAGTCAAAGGGTAATGAGGTTCATAAGATGAGAGTTACTGCCGATGATGAGGCAATGATGTTGACAAGGGGAATTTTTGCTTACAAATGCCAGAGTTTTATGGCCTGTCCACACATCCCTTTTCCCTTCAAATTTCAGTTTTCAGAGTCTTTCTATCAACTCAATTGACAAGTGCTAATCGCATTTATGGTGGTCCTCCGGGCAGCAGGCAATGCCGCTGCACAAGGATTCAGGATACAGACTATAACATTATGATTTGGATGGCAACTACATCAGCAATGAGTAGTTCCCATGTGATGCAATCACGAGACACAAAATACCTCGAAATTAAACCAAAAACTTTCAAGGCATACCTACAACTTCGACGAAACTTCCTTCGAATTTCACAACTTGAATTTTATCGAAATCTTCAAAAACTGAAATTTATTCATCGTTCAAGGGGATAGAACCTCCCATTTGAATTCCCGTTGAAACCGCATTGGTATGAACACAGAGGATGTCGATGAATTTCTCGAGCGAAGTGACTCACCACGGCATCGAACGTCCTTCCCGCGAAAGGAAGTTTCCCATGCGTCATCAGGATGGAAGGAGCAGGTGGCATTGTGTTTGAGCGATCCATCCATGAACCTCGAGTGTTGACGGCAGGTGTAGATGATGGCGGCACCAGGAGGTGCTGGGTATTTCCCATCCCATCCGTCGTATGTCCAGTTCACATTCTCTATCTCGGGATGTTTGCTCACGCACGACACTGCAGAATAACTTAGCATAATGCTATTGGGCTTTTTCATTCGAATCACTCCTATGAGGAAGTCTTATTTCTCCATTGTTAAATTAACTAATCACTTCCACTGATGTTCAACATCGCTACACTATACTACACACTATGCTACACATAAACTAACCATTCCCAGGATTGGACTTCCATTACCTCTATCCCAGTGACATGAAACTGGAACTGAAACATATCCTCATTTCTCATTTTCACAAGTTACCTAAAATACACATGCTCGAACCGATTTTAAGCTAAACTGACTTTCAGCGAAATTAAAGTGGCGTTGAAAATGTAGTCGGCATCCTTTCGTGCGCAAGATCACGTGCGCTGTAACCTATTAACGTTGCTTACTTCCTTTGAAGGGGCATGGAAGAAGTAGGCTGCAGAATAGCATTGCTAGCTGAGGACCCACCGAACACCCCCATTCACCCGCGCCATGTCGGGCAGGAACTGGGCCGGCGGTGGGGAAGTGACCGAATGAGGTTGGGATCGGCTGATATCCCGCCATCTGCTGGCAGTTGATCGAATGACGCGAAATGGGGTTGTGTGATGAAAGCGTCCATAAGGACATCTCTTTCTGTTTCAAATTCGTCTATATAGGTTCATTACTCTCAGAGCTATGGAATTTTAAAGACTGAAGACACACAACAGCTCCAGTTTGGTATGATTCACCCTATTGCATTATCTTCTTGCTAGCGGTCAGAAATGATTGCACGATTGCTCACTCCATTACATTCATAACCAATGGCATATTCATAATCATAACCAATCTACGGATGTTGATCGATGGTAGATTGCAATAGGGTGATGGCCTAGGGCCCAATGCGCATGTCTCATCCGCTTCCCACTCCCCCCTCTGGCTGCAGGACCTTCTTTGCAAGGGTCTGATTAGTGGTAAAAAATCGTCGGGTTATCCGACGACTCGCTCAACACGGGGTCTATGGAGGGACGTCGGTATAAAATACTCTATACATAGGTTACAGTGATATATGTTTCGGCTTAAAGAATTGAGGAACGAGCGAAGGAACTTCCTAGGACAACTTCTTACGGTCTGCAATTGGATGTCCTTCGATGGAATCCCCTCCCCGAAGATGCCTTCCATCTTGCCCGGCATCTAGCAGTTCGTTCGATAAATATTCTCACAATATAAATGCTCATCCCGCCCCTGTATATTTCCCGATACCCTAAATTGTAACGAGTAGCTCTGCAGAGCTTTCACCCTCAGCTCGATAATTTTCCACGTTTGCTAACCAATGTTTCGAGGACAACTCATCTCATGAACTCGGGACAGAAAGATCACTCATACATTAGAAAACAGAATATTCGGAAAAAAAGCCGAAGTATTCATGAATCCGGCATAACTCCGGCACGATATCCAGGAACACGGAGGGACGAGATCGGAGCCATCACGCTGAGCTTAAACGAACGCCACATATTTTTTTTTTGCCGAAATGATAGGAAAAAGCGAAAAGGGCTATATTCTTCGCCTACATGTCAATGAATCATTCATTTGGTTGGTCTCTTTCCTCCGAAAACCCCTCAGGAGTGGCTACCCATGTGGGAAAGGGGGGGGGGGACCCGAATGAGATTCTCATATTCAAGAAGATAAATTTATTCTTCTCCGCGACTGCGGAGAGATGGCGTTTCAAATCAGGAGCGATTCTGTGTTGAGAGAGAGGAAGGAGCATGCCTAATATCGTTTATGTTGAGGAATACGACGAAGTTGAACTTCGCTAATAAACGGGAACTCGGAGCGAAATTTATATGGGATGAAAGAATGATGAACAGAATATTCCACGAAGCATCATAGGGATACCATCCATGGAGGATGATGACAAAAATGTTGATGTACTTTGCACGTGGTAATGTCATTTCACAGAAATTCTGAAAGCGGGATTTTTTAAACGTTGCAGCAATGCATACGTTTAGGACATCGTGACGTCGCCGTGACGCCCGTTATAACGTCTACACGACGGCACAGTGGTCACAAAATCCCGTTTCAGCAACGTTGCCTAGCCGCTTGGGCGAATTCACCGTGATCTAGCACAAGGCCATCAAGCGATCACGATGGGCAGTTATTATACCGATAGGGTTTCGATGTCGTGCCAAAATCAGAATTCAGGAAAAAAAAAGCAGACCCTTTGTGACTCGAGGACGTTCACGCTAATCGTCTCATATCTTCATCGTATTCTTCCTACCCAAGCGACACGTGACGTCCACGGAACGTTGCTGAAACGTGACTCGGGCCAAGTGACGTTGCGGTAACGTCGCATAGACGTCATTCAGAGGCATGTGTCGCTTGGGAGGGTTCCAACGATTTCCCATCGAGGATGTGTGGAATGTTAAAACGTCAAAGAAAGTTTCAGAACTCGTAAATCCTTATGCATGCAAGTTTCAGTCGCAGTCTCCTCAGTCTGTGGATAATGAGTTAAGTCAAGAGTATGCTCACGTGGATGAGGACAGAGATCTTTCGCGTCCGAGGCAAAGGTCGTGCACCAGGCATCAGGCGTCACGGACGAACATTTAGCCTCGTGCTGCTCTAGCCCATCGCTGAACCCTCTCGGGTGCCTGCAGGTGAATCTCACTTTCCCCCCAGGCGGGGCGGGGTGCCTCCATCCGTCGACGGATACCTCCGCGTTTTCGATCCTCGGGTAGTCCGTCAGGCACAGGGCTGTATTCGTGGAAATGGGCCGAATGGGTCCATAAATATAGCACCAGTCACGACTGCTTCCATTAGAAGTAAAACCATGCATTTGTCGTGCGGAGGGCCTCAAAATGGACTCATTATTACTAACTTTAGGCCGGAAGCAAGGGGGAAAAAAAAAACGATTTAGCCGGAGCGGTATAGGCTAAGACAATGGGTCCGGTCTCACACCACAGACCGGACGAGCCGTCTAATGGGACGAGTGACGACGGTGTGCGAACAACTAGAAACAGGATTGTTTTCATTTCGGTTAAAAGAGAGAGGAAAAGAAGCAAGAACGTTTTCATTCAAGTCAAGAGAAGAAAAGAACACGACAGGAGACGTTTTGAGATTTGGAGTCACTGCCCGAGGATGAATTCGTCTCTTCCCAAATCTCGACGAAGAGAGACACAAGGACACGACTCAGGTGAGACTGAAAGCGCAGGGCACGGCAGATCGACGAGCCGGCGCGGAAGTCACTCCCGCCGCACACGAAACGGACGATACGAAATCGGGGTCTACACGGGGTAACAGGCTAACACGTGGGCAACTTTCTTGGAAAATCGGAGGTTCGCTTTCGTGTTGCATTTCTCGGAATAACGAGGAGACTCGTTACCCTTGTGCTCACAAGGGAACGGTTGCCTCGCAAAAAAGGGATTTTAAGCGTCCTACATGAAATACGGGCGATTTCTTTATCTTTGCCTCCATTCGGATTCGCCTCCTTCATTCGCGAGTAATCACGGGTCGAATGAGACTCGCGGGCTTTGGACTCATGATTTAGCCCGAAAAACACATAAACGCTTTCGAGGATGTTCGACGCGTTTTTTCAAAGAGGTCTTTGGACTTCCGATGGACAAGAAGGAACACCTTTTTATCGTTCAGATATGGTGCCTTTTCATCACAAAACACGCTGCAATTGAAAGACATTTCGTCGAACGTTTAAGATGCTTTCCCGGAAAGCATTTCATCTGACAAAGGCTTAAAAGCAAAGGTTCTCACGACCGACGCTAATGACGCGAAAATAGTCGCTACAGCGGGCCAATCCCTGGTACAGCGGGAATTAGTCCCCAATCCCTTCCAGAAACGGAGCCGATATTCACGTCTTTATAATTGAAGTATGTAAACTCGTAAGTTTAAACATTCGCGAAACCGGGAATCTTGCCTCTGGTCTTCATTGTACATGTTCTTAGAAAAAATGCTGTTAAAAATGTATGGTAGAACCTGTAACCCTAAGGCATCCAATTGAGTTTTCCCACCTACGGCCTTTTAATCAGTTCTAATTTTGTGCATACTTCTGAAGTGGTATGTTCCCATTAGCTATAAATATAATTTTCCTTTTCAAGTCTGAGCAAACAGGATAGGAAACTTCTTGACCTAACCGAACTTTTTCAAATCCTTAAAAATTTTGCATTTTTGATCACGCAAAGGACACCATTTCAAATTGTATGGCTCAACGAATTCCGATTATGCAAATGCCCTTTCGCTTTTGCAACAAAAAACTCCATGTAACTTGAGCAGGTTTTCCGGTCCTCACCTTTAAGCAATCTTTGGATGAGAAACGCTTTTCACAAAATATTTATTGTCCAGTTAGCACGAACCAAATGGAATCGTCGTGTCGTCGAACTTACATTGGACGAATGCCTTGTAACCTTCTGAAGGAATGAGATTGCTCTGGTTATTAAAAATCAGCTGGCAGACGCCATCCCTTTCCCTGAAATTGAATGCAGGGCAGGGTTTGGACGGGTTCATCCCGAAACATTTCTTGCTGCATTCCACGTAATTCGCGGCACGGGTCTCGTTCGACACGTTCTCGTATCTCTGTCCTGAGTGCATCATCCGATACACGGGGATTCCCAGGGACGATTCAGCCCGTAGGAAACAGGAAATTCCCGTCAGCGTCAGAAAGTAGTCTGCTCCCCTGTCATGGCGCGAAGATGAACGATATTCAAATATTTGTTTGGGATAGGGCAGTTGCATGCCAAAGCATCGACGAAAGAAAATATCTACCGAGGAATTTTACGACAGTATTTCATACCTCAGCAACTTCCCAAAGATATGAATACTACTAGTAGTAGCATTTAACAATTTAACACCGTAACAACGTTGATTCAATATCGGAACGTTGTTGTCATCAACATCGATGATGATCACGTATCATTGGTGAGATGTCTTGAATTGAATATTGGAAGGGCGTCATATTTGACGGGTGCATAGTTGGAAACGACAGTTTCTTGTTCCTAATTTTTACCTGTGCATCCTACTAACCAAACAATTAGGTCATGTGAAAACAGGAATTTGGGAGAGTTCCCACCGCTTCCACATGGGCTTCCTTAGCGTGATTCCACTGGGGCCCTCCGCTGGTCCTGTTCGCCGTGTAGTGACTTTCATGAATAAATAGGACGTCCACCTGGTACCAAACTGAATTGTAAATAAATGTTTGCTCAGGTAAG